CAGTTGCTAGACCGTCGGGGGCGGTACTGCGGAAGAGCAGAGAACTCGCTTCTTTTGCTCGGTCGATCCAAATGCTCACAAGCTGGGCAGGGCTGGCTGGGGACAGCACCCGCTCGTGGGAAACAAAGGTGATGCCATCGGCTGCTGCCGCAACCACCCCGAGACATCCTTTGAGGACTCGAACTTCGCAATTGAGAATTAGAGCGTCGTCGTCGGATAGTTGTCGTGTCCGTGACGTGTCTAGGCGGTAGGATAGCGCGTAACTCCACTGACGAGGGGCGCTCTGAACGCGCGCGATTGGGGTCGTGTTGTGATCGCGAAAGAGGCGCAACACTCGGCTGACAATTTGAACTTGTGAGCCGGTGTGTGCTTGCGGGGGCCGTAAGAAAAGTCCAGGAATTTCTTGGTGCATGACCGATAGCTGTCAGAATCTGTAGCACGCTATCAATCATCGAGTGGTGGCGTCGTCAAATCGAGCGCGTCTCGCCAATACCAGTGCCTGTCAGGGATGAGCAGGGCACTACAGATTTGCGAATTTTACCATAAAAATATTGTGAAATTATTCAAGCTGACCATGGTATGGTTGCCGCTCCCCTGTGAGACGTGAAACAGGAGCATGAAGGGTGCAGTACCCCGCTTCTACATCGCGCATGAGGGCCGGTAGTTGCTTGACGTTTCTAAACCCATACGCTAGCGGATTGAACTGACTGTTCTTTGGGCCAGCGTTCCGGAAATTTTGAGATTTGTCTCTCCCTGGCCAATGCTGATCGAGCGGTCGGTAGAGGCATCCGGTGGGGGCGCTTCGTGACGTCGTCCAATGGAGCAAGATTGTGAGCGGCGTTGGGATGCTGGGGAAATTATCGGAAGTTTTGCGGGTGAAGTGGCTTGAGCGCCATGGGGCTCTGACTAAAACGGGCGTTAGCCGTAAATCATCTAGTACACAGCTGACGTTTTTGCGGGCGCGCAGTATGGCCCGGTTCGGAGACGTCGAAGCTGCACTGAGGCTTCTTGACGAGGTGATTTCCTCTGACCCGAAATTTTCGGATGCGATAGAAGCGCGAGCTGAATTGCTCGATATTCACGGTGACAGAGAACAGGCAGACGCAGGATACGCGGAATCTCGGCGTCTTAAATCCGCTGTGCGTAGGGGGGCGCCTGACCGTCCCTTCGCGTTGAGGCAGCGTGGCGATTTTATGGTCGAGGTTCTTTCCTACGACATTGTGCTGCGGTCCATGACGAAGAACGCTCTTCCTTATTTGACCCGCGGCAATGCCTACCTGGCTAGTGGATATCCGGCAAAAGCGCTCGCTGACTACGACAGTGCTCTCAGCGTTAAGCCTGGCCTTTTGGATGCTACGTTGCTTAGGGCAGAGGCTCTTCTGCAATTAGGGCGCGTTGACGATGCGCTTGCTGCTGTTGAAGTCGTCGTAGCGGCCCGCCCATCTAGCCCCGAAGCCTTTAGTACCCGTGCGCTCATTGAGCTAACTCGAGGCCAGCTTGAAAAAGCAAACGCCGATTGGCAAAGGCAACTCAAGATTCTCAATGGTAGGCCTGCGCCTAGTGGTTATGTAGCGCTTCGTCTCGCCGACTATGAGGCCGCGATTCCGCACCTGGAGGCTGCGAGCCAGGCCGATCCTCGTGACCCGTACTGGAAGCTGTATCTGAACACGGCGAGGATCAGAACCGGCCGACCCGCTGTGACTACCGCCGTTACACAGGAAGGATGGCCCGAGACGCTGCTGGCCCTGCAGGCCGGCACTCTCTCGGAAGATGCCGCACTGGCCAAGGCCGATACGACCGCGCGCCGCGCGGAGGCCCTGTTCCAGATAGCCGTCCTCAAGTCCGCCACCGACCCCGCCGCTGCGCGCTCGCGCTGGCAGGAAGTCGTGGAGCGGGGGCCTCAC